CTTTCTCACCTCCTCTCTCTCTCTCTCTCTCTCTCTTCTCTAGTTGATCAAACTGGAAAGTAATAATAATAAATAAAGTTAAATAAATAATTTTTTTAAATGCCTGTAAAATGGAATTAAAGTACAAATTTATAAAAAAAATTTATAAATTAATTTGTGTAGAATTGACATGAAAAAAAAAAAGTCTACTTGAGGGTTGCATGGAGTAATGTCAGGCTCCGCCTATTACCCAGGGGGCCATTTCTAGTAGCCGTTTATCTATTTTCCAGATAGGCTATCCGCGCCATCGAGTTCACTTTCTGAGAGTAATCTGTGCAATTATCCTCTCAGTCAGCACTGTCCAATAGAACTTTCTGCAAAAATGGAATGTTCGGTATCTCTGCTCTCTAGTTCAGTAGCTGCTTGCTACACGTGGATATTGAGTAGCTGAAATACGGCCAGTGAGCCTGAGGAACCGGATCTTTAATTTTAATTAGCTTAAACCACTCCACTGTAGCCACTGGTCACAATGAAGTTCTATATATGGTCAAATAGGTTTTAAAGGAAATTGAGCCTTGTTTAAAAACAAAACCGAGGATGTCATTTCATAGAGTAAAGTCAGTAAGTCTTTACAACTCCTTTCAGATCAGGGTTTCCAAGTGCCTAAGAGTCACCTGGGACCTCGGTAAAAGGCAGGTTCTGATGTAGGTCCTGAGAATGTGCGTTTATTTATTTATTTTTCTCTTTGGCAGAGGTTTTAGCTCTAGGGCACGTGCACTCGCCAGAAAGACAGAGAGAGACAGAGAGATAAAAAGCGAGAAATCACCCCCTAGGGGGGATGACCATGCCGCAATCCCTTCTCCATTCTCCTCTTGGGATCTTGGGCACTCACGCACACGCGCCTGGTGTGAGTTTAAGCCACTGGGTTCGGGATTTGAACCACAATCGACAACATGGGAGTCCAGTGACATAGCCATTACGCCAACTGCTGGTCACCTGAGAATGTGCATTTCTGCGAACCAGCAGTTAGCGTAATGGCTATGTCGCTGGACTCCCATGTAGTCGACCACGATTCGTGTCCCGGACCCGGTGGCTTAAAACTCATGCTGGGTGCATGTGCATGCGTGCCCAAGATCCCGAGAAGAGAATGGAGGAGAAGGGATTGCGGCATGACCATCCCCCCTGGGGGGTGATGTCTCGCTTTCTGTCTCTATGTCTCTCTCTGTCTGGCTGGCGAGTGCACGTGCCCTATAGCAAAAAACTCTCCAAAAAAAAAAGAATGTGCGTTTCTAATAAGCTCCCAGAAAACACCAGTGTGTTGACCACATATCCTGCTTGGAGCAGCAACCACTTAGATTACAGGTGTTGACAGCAGATTAATTTCCACAGTAAGACAAAGCCACAGTTACCACTATTTCTCTAGGTCAGATGTAACACAGAAAAGAAACTGGCTATTTACTACCTTTTGGTAAGGAAGGACTCAGCATTGTACACAGCACATAGTGAGCTAGCAGAAAAGATTAACACTTACCTTGATGGTGCAACTCCAACCAAATTTGGACCCAAGCCTCTAAAAAGTGACTTTGGTCCCTCCTTTTCCAAGATTGACCTGAAGAATAAGAAAAGATGTCTTTAAAACCCCTTAGGCTGGGTCAAAACAGGTAGCATGGTGGTTAAAGTGTCGGATTTCTGCATGGCTAACCATGGTTCGAGTCCCAGCCCTGGTGGCTTGTTTGCTCATTCTCCCTCTCTGGCCAAATTAAATAATAATAAACAAATAAAGTTAAGTAAATAGCTGCTATTTAAAAGGAACAACAACAAAAAAACCTCTTAGGCACAGCCTATGCAAAATGGTGGGGCATCAACCTTCACCATTAGTTTCTTAAGAGAATAAAATGCTTATGAGTCTCCAGACTCTTAGCTGATTCTAGCACAGCACAGAGCCAAAGGGCTGCGGAAACAGCCTGCACTGACACAGTGAGCAAACGTGCTTCAAACGACCAGTTAGGCGTTTTAGGAGCCCTTGCCCATGTTCACTCGGGGGCAAGATGTGCAGGTTTTGTGTTATACAGTGGAATCCTATTAATGTAGGATAGACTTGCAAAGGGTTGACACAGAGAATAATGTCCTCGTCATAACAATGTTCACTGAGAACAGGTTCCGAGATTGCTTTGGATAGTATTTCTTTTGAATTTACTCCTTATTTATGATATGCCTGTCTTCTAGATCTTTAACTATTGCAGTAGAACTCTAAATAGGGATTTAAGAAATAGACGATAATTTTTCAGGAGTTAGATACAGGTTATTTAAAGCCAAAGCCTACTATCTCAAATCCAAAGACAGTACCATGTCTGCTTTTTGTTTTTAATTTTTAATAGTAACGCACATATAAAACTTACCATTTTTAATCATTTTAAAGTGTACACTTCAGGGGCAGTGAGTATATCTACTTTGTTATGCAACCATGGCCAATGTCTACCTCCAGAACTGATCTTATCAAACTGAAACGCTAATCCCCCGTTCCTCTGGAAACCACCATTCTACTTTCATCTCTACAAATGTGACTCCTCTACATGGCACATATGAGTGGTCATACCAATGTCCTTTATATGATGGCCTCCTTCACTAAGTGTAATGTCCTCGAGGGTCAGCCACGCGGTGGCATGTGTGAGAACTGCCTTCTTTTGAAGGGCCGATATTCCACTGCTGTCAGGTACCACATTTTATCACTTTGTCTTTCCGTCAATGGGCGTGTCGGTTATTTCTTTTTGACTACTGTGAATAGTGCTATGAATGAGGTGAACAAATACTTTCAACCCTTTGCTTTCAATTCTTGTGGGTATATCCTGAAAAGTGCAATTGCTGGATCACGTGGTGATTCTGTTTAATTTTTTTAAGGAACTACTGTACCATTTTCCATAGGCTATACCATCTTCCCTTCCTACCAGCAGAGCACAAGGGTTCTAAGTTTACTACATGCTTCTAAAGGAAAAATGTTAAATATGGTTTCTAACTTAAAGCAACTCAGAAAATCCTAGAATAATTGTACAGGATATTCTGTATTCCACTCCAAAACAGTGATTCCTCAAGTTGGTTAAATTTATTCTTTTCTACAGCTGAATTTTCATGGTGTCCAGTGAACTTTATAGTGTTATATTATGGTTTTCTCTAATTTTTTTCTTACTGAGTATTTTTCTTTTTTCTTACTGAGTATTTTTCTTTTTTTTGGAGGGGTTTTTGCTATAGGGCGCGTGCGCTCACCAGAAAGACAGAGAGACACAGAGAGACTGAAAGCGAGAAATCATCCCCCCGGGGGATGGCCATGCCACAATTCCTTTTCCTCCATTCTCCTCTCAATATCTTGGGCAAAAACGCACATGCAGGGAACCAGCAGTTAGCGTAATGGCTATGTCGCGGGACTCCCACGTAGTCGACCGCGGTTCGCATCCCAGACCCGGTGGCTTAAAACTCACGCTGGGTGCGTGCGCATGTGTGCCCAGGATCCCGAGAGGAGAATGGAGGAGAAGGGATTGCGGTGTGACCATACCCCCCCTCGCGTGGATTTTCTCGCT